CAAACAGACTAACGAGCAGAACGAGCTTCGCTGAGAAGATAATTAACTCTGATCAGCTCTCAGCTTCATTATTAGAGCGAGACGAAGGAGAAAAAGGTGAGATGTGCTGCTTTTCCACCATTTACAGGCTTTAACTTCTGTTTGGCACTGTTGCCATGGTAACGCTGAATGATGGCGCACGCGCAGTGGAAAAAAAGCACATGAATTCCAATCTGACGTTAAGGTCGCATGGCCACGAATCGGATACGTATCCGATCCAGGACCACATATGAAAGTGGCTCAGGTCGGATTTGAAAAGATCACATTTGCGTGTCCACACAGCTCAGAAAACATCAGATTTGAGTCACATTAGGACAAAAAATCAGATTTGTGCCACTTCAACCTGGCAGTGTGAACGTAGCCTAATGGCCACACTGATCTGTGTCAGCGATCAGAGGCCTGTAAGTGTAACCAGTACAGTAAAAGAAGCCTGATATCAGAACGTTGAAGGCAAAGTCTGATGTGATATCAGGTGGTATACAGTGCAACCCACCCCACCGAAGTTGAAATGAAACCTACACCATCTGGCTCTAAATCTCTACCCAGAACACTTGAAGTGGGCCACGTTTATCTGTCCTCGTGCAGGCGGATAGTGGAATACGCACAGTTCAAAAAGACCACATTTCATATTCATCTTGCTGCGTGTGGGCTGCTAGTAGCATTTATGCTTGAGTGCTATAATAATAAGGCATTATGATGCTAATCTACTACTTGTTTACTTGTCAATGAGCTTTTCTTACATGATTCCAGTCCTATCACACTGCAGAACAGACGGAGATAAGCACTACGACTGACTGTTATGATTCTGTGCGGATTCCATAGTTCATCAACCGTGTAGTAAGAGATGGATGCTAATGTGGTGGTCAGTCATCACTCATTACGGAGTGTGTTTTTATGCATATGCCCGTGTGTGAGAGAGGGAGCGTAATCTGTGAGAGCTGTGATTAAAAAGCCGAAGAGGTGTGGAGTGAAATCTTAAACTGGGATTCTCTGCACACCTGCCACAATGAAAGATGATGAGACTGATTCTGTATGCGTGGCTGACTCACCGTGTTTATCCCTTTACATTATGGATTTGTGTGACAGTCTGGTGGGGTGGTGCGGGGGGGGGTGAGTGTGCACAGGGTTATTAGAAAGGTTCCTGCTTTTGCTTCTCATACACAGACACTCAGTAACTGTTGGAGCTAGGCTTTCAGTCTGGGCTGTAAATGTCAAAACTCAGTCAAAAACGAGGAAAGAAAATGCCTCTATGATAATGCTAATGTCTGCTAGCGCCTCCTAGGGGATTATAGTAGTATGTTAGCATTAAGCTAATGGCAGTTCATTCTAGATCACAGAACACAGACATTTGAAGCTTCTAAAAACCATTCCATGTTTTACCCTAAGCTAATATATGCCAATATGTCTTTAAACCTATTTTACCTTATAGCAGTTTCACAGTGTCTCATTCAACAGTGAGCTCTGGTTTAGAGCCGCCGCCGCTGTTTGGCATTTCTAACATCCCACTGATTAGGTTAGATTATTAGGTTGCCGCTCATATTCACAGTTATTGATGGTAAGACCAATAAAGTACATAACGTAATGTAACGTAACGTATCTAGGACTTCCAGAAGTCCCAGAGTGATATTTTTCTCATTAAATTGGTCCCACCTATTGGAAATCAATACGTGATTGGGCAATTCCACTATCACTTCGTAATTATGCTGATAGATAATCTAACATGTAAGGACTTCTGTTTAGCTCTTGATGTCCTAACCAATAGGAGAGCTCGCTTACCTTTATCTAACAAGACACCATGGAGAAAAATAATTCCTGATTGGCCAGTTTTTTGCTGGCCATTCTAAAAGTAGTTCTGTAATACTTGAAGAATATATTTTTATTTGAATAAAAATGAATTGAAAATTACAGTATTGTTAGTTCCCAGAAATAGTTGGGCTTCTCTGAAGGCCTAGAAGGCCCTGAGTGTTTCTCACTAGATTCTAGTAGTATGTTAGCACGAAGTCAACGCCGATTCACATGACTATTCTAAATTAAAAATGTACACACTGTTAAAAATATTCAGTGTTTTAATTTAAAAAGGTAAGTAAACTGGTTGCCTCAAAATCCTAACTTCTAATAGTAAAATAACACAACAATAAACCATGTTTTATATTCTGTTAACTTACTATTTCAAGTTCAACTCAAAATTTTAAGGTAACAACGACACCTACTTTTTAAATTTAAAGCTCCAAATCACAGTGCAAGTTTACAGAGCATTTGGATCTTGTTTGAAGTTTGATTTGAAGCTTTTAAAAGACCTAAAAGGCCTAGAGTGACGCAGTCCAGCTCCTGAAGTCCTAACCAGTTGAAAGCTAGCTTGGCTGTATCTGCCTGGACACCACGGACAAAAAAAATCAGATAGTTTTCCATTGGACATTTAACCCTTTTGTTTACAACCAAAACTTAATCATGAAATAAGAGTATTACTACAATACAGTGGTGAACCTTGACCACTAGAGCCAGGTCTTTAGTTAGGGCTGAAAATGTCAAAACTTGGTCAAAAATGAATAAAACCTCTACTATAATGCTAATTTCTTCTAGCACCCCTATGGAACTCTAGTAGTATATTAGCGCTAAGATAATGGTGATTCACTTGAATGTTTTTTGTCCATTCTACATTATTTTACCTTCACAGCCCTTTTGATTTGGCTGTGCTCCATTTCTAAAAACTAGGCTACCACTCATAGTCTCAGTCACTAACGCATCTAGGCTTCCAGAAGGCCTAGAATGACTGTTTTCTCACAAAGCTGCTCCGACTCATTGGAAATTAAAAGGTGATTAGTTGATTCTACTATCAGTTTCTAATTATGTTGGTGGTTAATCTCACACTTCAGGACTTCTGTCTAGCTCCTGAAATCCTAACCAGTGGAAATCTAGCTTGGCTGTATCTACCTAGACACTACAGAGAAAAAAATCCTGATTGGATGATTTTCTCTTGGCCTTTTAGCCCTTTTGTTTCCAACCACAACTTCACAATGAATCCAGTTTTGCTATAATATGTACAGTTTAAAAACAGTTATAAACAAGCATGATGATTCTCCTAAAAATGAATGTATTGTTTTATTTCACAGAAATCATTAGGCCTCCTCTGAAAGCCTAGAAGGCCCTGAGGGTCCCCACTGCAGACCCCATATTTCCTAATAGCATCCATAGTGTGGCAGTTTCTTTAAATTACATTCAGTCTGCTGTAGTATACATTCTGCACAAGTACCTCAGATAACACCTCCATTTGCAGTTTGGTGGCAAAATATAGCCACCAAAGGTTGGAACATAAACAGCCTTCTTTATCCCTCTCCTTCCTGCCCCTCTAAATTATCTATAATGGCTTTTTAAAAAAACACTATAAAGCTTTTTATATGCAAACCAGACGGCCTCTCCGAGAGAATCCCGCCACGTTAATGAACTTCAGACAAGTGTTATCGTATGAACGGGGAAGAACAGGCCCAAACGCTACCCTCAATACGGCCTTATCTTAAACCTGGTCCAGGAAAAACCTGAGAAAAAGACTTCCAGGAAGGTTTCAAAGCGTACTATAATAAGACACAGTGGTAGATAACCAGAGTGGACGGTGCTACAGCACATGACAAAAGACTTAACAAAGAACCCTGAAAGGTGGACTTTATTCGAAACTGGCTCTCTGTGTTTGCGCCTTTATAATAGGCAGTGTTCGACTTCTAGTTAAGACTTGTAAGAGACCTACAGGTGAGGTCCGAAAAGAAACGTTTATTTTTGAAGGCAGAGCTCCAGGACCCCCAATCGGTCCACACTTTTATTGTGTTTGAACACCTAACACACCTCAAATGAACACGGTTGCATTTACAGGACACATTCAGTTCTTTAGCTCATAAAAATCTGTAGTTATTGTTGTAATTTTGTACACTATTTAAATACATACGTGGTGATTAATGAACTATATAGTTATAATATACATAATAAATGACCTTTACAATATTTTTAGGACTCAGTAACTTTGAGCGACAATAACTTTATAATAAAACATCAGCTCTTCCACTTACAGACACAAATGCGGTGTTGATTTAAAGTTTAGAATCTACTCTTTTAGCATAATTCTCAGCTTGTTTTAATGAGCTACAATAAACATCTAATTTTAAATCAGTATTAAATTATGCTTTTATCAACAAATGTGACACTGAGTGCGTTTACATGCACTCAATAATCTGATCATAATCAGATTTCTGCAGTTATCCGATTATTCAAATGGTCATGTAAACAGCATACTCTGATCTAGAAATCCGATTAAGAAATCCGATAAAGAGAGCTGGATTTTAGCTCAGTAATCAGATTTCTCAGTGCATGTGAACTCTTACTCTGATTTCTTTCGGATTTCTCGGTCTGCACATGTGCGGAACAGACTGCTGTATCGGAAAATAAGTGAGCAGCGTTGCAACGAGACGCAGCAAAACACTTTTGGAGTGACACTGAAACCGACTACATTCTTGACGAAATTAAAGGATTAAAATATTTCTCATCTTCTAGATGATGTATGTTCATATTTTCAGGTAAAGTTTGAGTTTTAGATTATGTTTACGTCACGTCTTCTTCTGTGAGTTTATTGGCTGGTTGTAAAGCAGAAATCTGATTACTGTCTGACTCATGTAGACCTGATTATCTGATTACTCAAGTGCATGTAAACACTTTGATCGAATTACTGACAAAATCTGATTTTCTGCAGTTATCAGATTATTAAGTGCATGTAAACGCTCTCAGTGTCCAGTTATATACAGACAAGGCAGGACATACAGCAGATCAATGGTCACTGATCTTCCTCCTGGAGTTCCACCTCCAACCTGAATCTAACACGTTCATCTAATCAAGGTCTGCTGAAGACCTTCTTCTGAAGATCATTACTGTTGTGGTGATTTAGTGGTCATGATCCAGTGAACCTCTCTGTTCTCTTCCAGGAGTGTCCTCAGCTGCTGCCCGCTGACCGTATCCTGGTCCCTGTCAATGTGGTGAAGCCCATCACGCTGAGGGCCAAGAACCTACCCCAGCCACAGTCAGGCCAGCGCGGTTATGAGTGCGTGCTGACCATCCAGGGCGTGGAGCAGAGAGTCCCTGCCCTCCGCTTCAACAGCTCCAGCGTGCAGTGCCAGAACACATCGGTGAGTATGAGTTCTCCCCAAGTGTAGCTGATCAGACAAGACATGTTTGGGGTCTGACATCTGCTTCCTTAGTTTTGCGTTGAAGCTACAGGGCTAATGTAGCTTAAGTGCTGAACTGCGCCATTTGCTGGTTTCAGAACCTTTTTAACTGCCATTCTTTTTCCTTAGAGAGATATCTGATATAATACATTTCAGTAAACCTGAAACTTTTTGCTTAACTGTATAACTGTGAAGATTATCCATTGTGCAGAGTTGATGTTGTTGTTACTCAGTGGTCTGGTGGACCCACAACATTATGGGTTTCTTAAATCAATACAGCCATAACAATTTATGTAAAACATACCAGATGTTTAAAATATCACAAGTGTCCAGCGTAGGGTTCTCCTTTAGCAGCTGTAGCCAGTCAGCAGCCTGTCCATGTTGTCCACCCACACACACACACACATATACAAACACATACACACACAGAGACACACACACACATAAACAGCAGGCCATGTAGGAGGAGAACAGAGTGAAGGACACAGCACCTCCACACTTTTATTCCCTGCAGTTTCACCCAACACCACATGTGTAATATAAATGTGTGGGGGGTGAACAGAGTGAAGACACTGAAAATGGGTTATTTTATATGTTCTTCACAGAAAATGAGCAAAGGACGAGAATCTGAGGTTGAAATAATAATAAATCACATCATTTTTTCTTTTGGTAAACACTGAAAATGGGTCCCACAGACCAGAACACCACACAGCGTGTTATTCTGTGAGGAGACACGGCTGCGCTTGTTGTTGTTGCAGTGTGGAGCAATGAGGAGCCTGAAGGGTCCTTCTCTCCACCGCTCTCTCTGTTTTTTGGCCCTCTCGCCAAAAACGGTGATAAAAGATTTCTTCCAGCTGAACACAATTACTCCAAGTGCCCTGACTGCTTCTCTCTCTCTCTCTCTCTCTCTCTCTCTCTCTCTCTTTCTCTCTCTCTCCCTCTCTCTCTCCCTCTCTCTCTCCCTCTCTCTCCCTCTCTCTCTCTCTCTCTCTCTCTCAGTACTCGTATGATGGGATGGAAATGAGCAGTCTCCCTGTGGATCTGACGGTCATCTGGAACGGAGACTTCAGCATTGACAATCCGACCCAAAACAAAGGTGAGCCCTCCTGATCCACTGCCACAGCCACTGCTCTCGGATCCCGTCTCCATGGCAACAGGCCAGCCTTGTTCGCCGTCTGACCTTCACCGGAGAGCTTGTGCTGGAGAGCCGAACCTTTTTTTTTTTTTCTTTTTTTTTGCTTAACTTTGCCACCAGTCACATCTCCGTCTCTCTCTTTCTCCTTTACACACTTTTCTTTTCCATCCACCTTGTTAGTGTCACACCTCTCTTCACGGTCTCTCTCTCTGCATCTATCTCTCTCTCCATCTCTCTCTGTCATCCTCCTTCTCGTCTGAAATAGACTTCTGGACCAAAGTCGATATTAATGCTGTAATCAGGGGAAGCTGCTGTGGGCAACAGTTGCAGTGTGACCACCTGTTAGAGGGTCTCACAGTGATTTGCAGGTTAAGACAGCTGATCTTTAGCCACCTGTCAGATATTTCTATCTATCTATCTATCTATCTATCTAAGAGAAAGAGAGACAAATAGAGAAAGAAACAGAGAGAGGAAAGGAGCGAGAGACAGAAAGAGAGAAAGAAAGACAGAGAAAGAGACAGAGAGAAAGAGAGAGAGAGCGAAAGAAAGAAAAGAGAGGGACAGAAAGGATGTGAATGAGAGAGAGACATGCAAAGAGAGCGCAATAGAGAAAGGAACGGAGAGAAACAGAGAGAGAGAGGGAGGGAGAGACAGAAAAGAGAAAGAAAGATAGAGGAAGAGAGACCGAGAGAAAGACGGGAGGAGAGAGAGGAGAAAGCAAAAGATCGGAGGGGAGAGAGAGAGAGAGACAAAGAAAGAGAAAGGAGGGAGTAAGAGAATTGGAGAGAGAGAAAGAGAGAGGATGAGAGTGAGAGAGAGATAGAGACGTGCAAAGAGAGAAATAGAGAAAGAAACGGAGAGAAACAGAGAGAGAGAGAGGGAGAGACAAAAAGAGAGGAAGGTAGGGAGAAACAGAGAGAGAGAAGGAGGGAGAGAGAGAAGAAGAAAAAGAAAGCTAGATAGAATAAGAGAGAAAGAGTTGGGGGAGAGAGAGGAAGAAGAGCCAAAGAGCGGTGGAGAGAGACAGAGAGAGAGAGAAAGAGGGAGAAAGAGGGGGACTTATATAAAACCAATACTTATTGTATTAATACTATTTGTGTTTATTGTTTATACTAATTTTCCAAGTAAAATGTTTGCTACAAACATTTGAAAAGCAGCTCAGTTTATTATACAATTATTTAACGTATTTAAAAACATTTTAACTTGTTTTATGTGATTTTTTCAAGTGAAAGTCTCACTGTATTGGCAGATAATACTGCTTTTATCAAAATATTTTCTTAAAACGAGTAAAATGATGTATACTGAGATCATTTCCTTAAAAAATTCAAGCAAGTGAAAAAGTATCAAAGCAGCTAAACATATTTCCCCGATTATTTAACTTATTTTGAGACATTTTCACTTGTTTTTGGTCATTTTTAAGTGAATGTCTCACTGTATTGGCAAATAATATTACTTTTATCAAAATAATTTCCCAAAACAAGCAAAATTGTGTATACTGAGATCATTTCCCTAAAAAAAAATAAAGCAAGTAAAAGAAGTATTAAAGCAGCTAAGCTTATTACCCGATTATTTAACTCATTTTGAGATATTTTCACTTGTTTTCAGTAATTTTTGAGTGAAAGTCTCACTGTATTGGCAGATAATATTGCTTTTATCAAAATAATTTCCTAAAACAAGCAAAATGATGTACACTGAGATCATTTCCCTATAAAACAAAGCATGTAAAAGCATTAGATATATTGACTAGATTTAAGAACAGATGTGTAGTCGTTCACTGGCAGTGATTATGATTCCCTGCTCTATTAAACCCGAGCAGTGCTGGTACAGCTAATATGTTCTACACGTTTTTGACAAGCTGCAGTTTCAGGTGATCTCCAATGTGTTACAATGGGGGAAAATAAAACGTGTCATTTTCTAAGTGTGCAGTGTGAGGCGATGTCTAACACATGAGATGAAAGACGATAGTCGCACTAACACCACCAGAGTGTGCTTTAAAGTTCAAGTCAGTGTCAAGAGAAATACCTACTTTCCTCACGTCAGCTTTGATCTGCGGTGTTGGATTCTCTTGTTCCGTCAATACTAACAAAATAACAAACAGCAGGCATCAGATTATTGGCTTATTTACAGATGATGAGTTGAAACTCCGTTCCATTAGTGCAGAGCTCAAAAGATGGAATCTGTTCACTCGCATTAAAGGAAAACCTCATGTTATACAAAGGTGGTGTTTTCAGGACGGGTTCCGCTATTTTCGGGCTATTATTCTGCTATTTTCAAACGGAAGAGGATCATGTGGGTGTGACATTAAATATTCACGAGCTCACTTGACTGTTACCAAAACACACGCAGCTTGCTGAACAACAGAGATAATTAGCCAGTTAGAATCGCTGGTGCTAAAAAGATAAGATGCGCAGTCAGTTTGATTTGCAAACAACGTCTTCCAACCAGGGCCAATTAGTACATACAACTATGATGTTTTGGACTAATCAGACGACTGGTGGAAAATGCGCCTGTGACTTAAGTTATATGATTTAGGAACGTTGTTTGACTTCCATTGCACCCCTTGCTAAAGCTTAAATTTACCATAATGTTGCAGAACTCCCATTAAGAGGTTATCTACTTATTTAAAAACAATGAATTAATGCCGGCCTATGACGCAGCTGAAACTTTAGTTAGCCAGTGCATCCACATTGGCTAATATTCAATGAAATGAAATGCATGCTAAGTGGAGATCAGGTCAGGTGATCTGCTCATCCATTCAAGAACATTACAGTTTTTGGACCTGAAAAACTGCATAGCAGTTTTAGCAGAATATTTTGGGTCATTGTCCCATTCCAGGGTGAAGCTCCACCTACTGACTTTTGGTTGAATCTGAGCTTCTATATGTATGAGTCCAGTTGAGTTTCGAGTCTTTAGTATAGAATTTCAGTTTAGTTTTGTTGGCATAGCGTTGTATGAAAGTAAACGCTGCTAAAAACCTAGCAGGTCCAACACAGCTTTGCATAAGGACTTTTATTATGGAAGTACTTCAGCGTGAAGGACTCAGTAAAATCACTGTTTAAAGGAAAGAGGCAAAACAACAGCTGGCTAGTCTGCAGTTTGTATAGCAAATATGCTAGTTAGGCAGCATAATAGCTAATCTAGCTGAAGTTTTAGTAACTTTTAAAGGAATATGATTTTTAACTTATGAAAATTTCGACCAACAACTTTAGCTAAGTTAGCTATTGCACTAGCTACCATCAGAGACATTATAAAGCAGGAGAAATGGGAAAGCTCAGGCTCAACATGGCATCTGTTTGTGGAGAAAGTCCTGCCCTTCAATAAAAAGAGACAATCAGCTTGCTGGTTAAGCCCCTAGAAGGAAAAAACCCACCTCATTGACGAGATCTGCTCAAGCGTAGTAGCCAGAACGACCAAAAAACATGTTTTATGCGTCACTGAGCTAAATGCTACAAGCTATTTATGCTATTTTTGTCAGATTTTGCCAGTGATATCAAAAATGTTTTTGAAACGGTAATTTGGCCTTCAGTTTTGACTTTTCAGGTTTCTCCCCGTTCAAAGAGACAGAGACTGGTCTCATATGGCTGTAAATAACTGCTTGGCTGCGTTGCCAAGATGGCCTCTGAGTGAACAGACTTTCCTATAAGGACTTTGCTACCATCCTTGCTTTCCAAACCACATGCTCGCCAGCCATTGCATGTTGTTTTGCCTCTTTCCTTTAAACACCGCAGTTACTGAATACAGTGCTTCGGTTTTTCCATAATAATAGGCCTGTTTTTTGACGCCATGTCTAGAGTGACCCCACCGCGAGCTGCGGGACAACAGCACTGCAGTAAAGACAAGCAAGACTGTTCCACAGGCAGCCATACATGCTAATAGCACAGAGCTTTTTTTGCTAATAGCCCACCTGCTAGGAAAAAGGCAATACTGGACGGAAAAGTAGCCTGTGCTGCTGATCATATGTGATAGTATTCTCCTTCCATGCTGACCAGAACCAGTCAAATTCTGTTCCACTCACTTCTTTAGTGACAAGCCAACCGTAGCAAATTCTGACATGTTTTACAACCTATCTGTACAACCCGAGACGGCAAAATTGAGACTGTATTTGATGGCAAGTGTGCGAGCTTTATGGCAGCTCTAGACTTTATATAACTCTCTAGACTTGATTGTAGCTGTTTTGAGTTTCCCAAAGCTGCCTGACTTCACCGCAAGATCTCTGCAATATTAGCAAAACAGCCAGTCTTGTTAGGCACGTGAGCATTTTTGGTCTTGCTGTGCCTTTAATGAATCAGTGCAGCGTTTCAGAGCTCCTTCATGGGAGCACTGTCGCATACAGAAAAAGACAAACGACACATCACAAGACAATTAGAAGCACCTGTGCATGGTGAAAAAGGTTTTAATGTGCCCGTGGTGTGTGTGTGTGTGTGCCTCCATGAAGGGCAGGCTAATTTAGGCAGAGGAGGAGTGGAGGGTGGAAGATTTCTCCTCCCGGCTGCGTGCCTCACACTGCTAACAGCGCGCCGAGCCGCTGCGGTTCTGGGGGCCTAATTTGACGGACAGATCACAGGAGCATCTCGCGGCAATTAAAAATGCTTGTCTCGTTGCCATGGCAACGAAACTTTGTACCAGGGGATGAGCAAAGGCGGGGAAGTGGTGGTCTTCAGAGCAGGGAGTTATCTGGAAAAACTGGAGAAAGGGACTGAGGGAAGGAATCAAAGGCAGTAGTGGGGCAGTTATGTTGCTCACGTGTCTTTGTAAAAGACTGAACATGATTGAAAACATAATAATATCATAAACGTTAGTAATAACTACCAATAATCATCAGTCCCATAGCTAGCAGCCAGCTGTCATTCAGCCATGTTGGCATTTTCAGGTCCCATTACAAAAGCCTCTATGGATAATCTGCAGGTGCTCCTATTGTTAACATGCTATTTGTTGGGGCTGCTGTTTAAGCGTTGGCCCTGTTTTCTGGAGTTTGATCCCTGTTGATGCTACAGCCATCTGTGGCTGGGAGTACTGGACAACTCACTCTCTCTAGGTGGGTTGGATGGCCCCCTGTCTTTCCCCCATCGCTCAGCACAATGCTAGCCAACTGACGTAACACAACTGGCGGTTGGCGCTTTTCTGTGAGTGTGTTCAGATGTCCAATGACGTTGTGTTAGCGGCAGTTCGAAAAGATGTGGTGGCGCTTCACAGGACTCGGAGGAAGCCTGTGTTAGCTTTCCTGTCCAAGCTCTGGTGGTATTGTGTGATTTGGAGAGTCCTAGCTAGTGGGTGAAACTGGATACCTCTAAATTGAGGAGAAAATTGGGAGAATTTTATTTTATTTCATTTGGTGAAACTCTGTTGATTCTCAGTAGTGTTAGCATCAGCATTAGGATTAGAACCATGTTTGGGTTTGGATTAGGATTATCTTCTGGGTTGGGTTTGAAGTTACAGTTAAGAGATTTTGTTTTTACGATGAAGGAAACGTCAAGGTGATAGTTCGATGCCATTTAGTGGCAAATTAAGCATCCTCAAAGCATTTGCGATGGACCATCCAAATAGTATCAAGTATCTTTTCAAAATGCTGTTTTGTGTCTCATTCAGAAAGCAGTACAGACTGAAACACTCCTTATAACGTCAGTGTGAGTGGGCAGGGCTAAACCGCTGTAGGCTGTATAGGCAGATGTATGCATCTGTCATATGGCAAAAACAGTGAGTTTAAAGTGGGCTAAATTTCATATTTGAACTGTTTGGAAACTTTAACAGTGTTTACATACTACATTAAACTCTTTTATTGCAAAAAAGTGAGGAAAACTTCATTTTCCCAGATATGGGAACTATAAAGGAACCCCAAAAATGTAAATTACTCAGTTTTCTCCATTTCCCAAATGTAATTGATTAGCTATGACATGTTTGGTGTGAGTGGGCGGGGCTAAACTGCTCCACCCACTCACATGCAAATGTGTTGTTTTTTTTGTGACATCACAAAAGCAGTGAATTCAAAACAGGCTGTAGTTCCCACATACAGACCATATGAACTGGGGGGGATTAATATGCTTTGAAACTTAGTGTTTACGTACTACATTAAACTGTTTTACTCCAAAAAATTGAGCCAACATTGTTTTTGATATGTGCCCTTGAATCCCTACAGTACTTATACTGATGCTCTTCTCTGTACCTTCAGTGCATCTGTATAAGTGTGACGCCAGGCGGGAGAGCTGCGGCCTGTGTCTGAAAGCGGACCCCCTGTTCGGCTGCGTGTGGTGCAAAGCGGAGAAGAGATGCACGCTGAAGCAGCACTGTCCCCACCCGCAGAGCATGTGGCTGGAGCACAACGGCATCAACAGCAAGTGCACACACCCCAGGATCACCAAGGTGAGGGTCTGCACGTGTGACAGGAACTGGGATGGCCACGGATGTCGTAGTGAGATCATTAAGACAGCTAGAGTGAACGTCTCATTAAAGTTGAGCCAAAACCACCAGCTTTGCTAGTGAGAAATGAAAACAAGAGTCTTGATGTCATGCAAATGGCCCCCGCTGGGACGGCTTATTTTCAGCCACGTTAGCATTTTTGGTTGAAGTGTGTCATTAATGGTGATGAAAGTGGTTCTTATGTTGTTTCTTGTACCGTACTTGACGATGTTTTATGTCTTTCGCTGTGAAAGTCATATGGTTACATTAGATAGAGTGTGAACTGGGTGGGTTTTCAAAAGTTTGGCAAATACATTTAAATAGAAGAGAGAAGAAAACGCATTTATTGAAAAACAAAGACTCTGGCTAGTGACTTTCTAACGCTTTTAGAGGGTGTCGTGTTTGTTTATTTGAGCTTAAGCTGTGCCTGTTGTCAGTTGAGAGCTATTCACAGCTAGGAAGCAAGTTAGCGAATCAGCCAATTTACCCACTTCATACTGGCTTAATAGATGCATACATTGCACAACAATTACGATTAACAATTAAACTGGTAATTGCTGTTATTTACATGGTAACGCATCACTAGCTAAGATGTGATCGTTACAGACTTAGTCAGGTAGTTTGCCGTGGCATCTTTCAGGGACGACCAACACTTTTTTGCTCTTTATTTGAGTTTGCTACAGTTTGTCTGGCCATGTTTTTTTCCCGAGGCGAAAGAGTGTTGGAACTTGTCACTGAGCGAAGAGTGTGAGGAGCAGCTGCTGGGATTCTTTGTCCAGATCTTGGCCAGGGTGGAGATATTTTTAAAAATAAGGCCAATATATTTTGTTCCTGTGATAAAATGTTATGAATAATGCAAACTGGGCACATTCATTCCTCTTAGTTGCTTTTTCCACAGGACACTTACAGAATCCTAGCAGTTCACTCCCATCAGCTTAGGAGGTGAAGGGAAAAAAGGGGCTGATTCAAGTAATATGTGTCCAATTCCGACTGGTGTTTGATTTGATTAGATTGATTACGGCCGGCGTCCCATCTTCCCGCTCTTTTTTGCCTTTTCCTTTCTTTTTTTGGGACCGTCTGAGGTCGCTATGCATTCTAATGCGCTTCATTACAGTGACATCTCCGACGGAGAATCTTTAGTCGAAGCAGAAGTGGATGATGATTAAGTGTTTTCCTCCACCAGCCATCAATTAGCTTGTCAAAGTCACAAATCTAATCATCCTCTAATGAAAAGAGACAACTCCCTCTCTCTCTCTCTCTCTCCCTTTTTTGCTCGCTCCTTCTCTCATTCGGCAGATGCGAGCTCGACTCTTATCGGGTGGGAAAGCGTCGTAATGTGCTGCGATAGCCGTTAATTGTGTGCATTGTAAAGCTGGAGATTACTCTCGGTGGAGTTTTCATTAGGGTATCGGAGTGGGTCCATTATTTCTCAACTGACTACTATAAAATCCTGTCTAGAACAAAATCTTGTCTGGAATAATCAAGCGTGGGGCCACACATTCAGTATTTCATCTTCAGCATTTTTCTTTCAATTGGAGCAGCCACAAACTCAGTGAGATCTGAAGTGTGTGCTGAAGACTTTGGAGGCGTGCTAGTTATGGATCATAACATTTTTATTCATTTATTCATGCCCAGCACAGAGTGTCCCTATTTCCCACAGTGTCCTCTCCAGCAATTAAACAAACTTTTAACATTCAGTTCCTTTAATGCTTATTTTAACATATTAGTGTACTTTCTTTGCTGCTACATTTTCAGAGGGCTACTTTATTTGCTTTATCCTAACAGCAACTGCAATAGTAGTTGCTACACCTTGGCTACGTGAGCAGATTTGGAGATGTTTATTTGGAAGCACATCACTTGAACTACACTACATAACATTGACATGTCCATGGCGTAAACATGACTTGGCAGATGTCATGCTGTCATGAGTTGTCATCACAGATTTTGTTTAATAACATAAACCCTTTTCAAATGAAAGTAAAATGCAAATTAAAACAGAAAGCAGTGACTTGTAAATCCACTTTGATCTGTATTTAAACAAAAGCCATACAAAGACAAATATGTAATGTTTCATCTTATCAGCTTCATTTTCTTTTGTAAATATGCTCTCATCCTGAAATCGAATCCGGACAACACGTTCCAAAAAAGTCTAGGAAGACTAGGAACATTATTAAAAGCTCAAAAAACATCTTAAACAGTTGACGTAATCATGCGTAGGTATAAAGAGAAATGTCCAGGACAGGCAGAGTCCCTCCTGAGCGAGGATGGATCGATGCTCGCTACTTCGCAAAAGTGTGTCAGCGAACAATACAACAGTTTAAAAACAATGTTCCTAAGCAAGCAGTTGTAAGGGTTTTAGGTATTTCACCCTCTACATCAAAAGATTCAGGAAATCTTGAGAAATATTTGTGTGCAAGGGCCATGACCAAAACTGACAACTGAATGCCCATGACCTTTGACCTCTCTGATGGCACTTCTTTAAAAACGAGCATGCTTCTGTAATGGAAATCACCACCTGGGCTAGAGAATGCGTCGACAAACTGTTGTCAATAAATAAGTTTGTCATTCATGTTAAGACTATATTATGTACAGAGGAAGCCATATCAACAGTCAGCAGTATCCAGAAACACTGCCTACTTCTCTGGGCTCGAGCTCATCTGAAATGGACTGATTCACAGTGGAAATGTGTATTGTGCTCTAATGAGTCAACCTTTCAAATTATTTATGGTAACAATGGACATTGTGTTCTCTGGGCCAGGGCAGAAAAGGAGCATCCAGACTGTTACCAGCGTAAAGTTCAAAATCCAGGGTCGGTCATGGCATGGACATCTGTCTTTTTCAGGGACTTCCATTCTTATTTCTACATGACAACACCAAGCCGCATTCTGCACGTGTTACAACAGCATGGCTGCGTGATCAGAGACTGCAGATGTTATTCTTGATAGTAATTTCACTTCCCTTCTTATCTCGGCGTCCCTCTCTCATACACATGCAATGCTTTGGCAAGCTTTAGCTGTCATTTACACCAGTCAGAGTTGAGCGTGGCTGTCTAATCTGACTCACTAACTGGTACATTATCACATGACTACAGATCTTAATGTGCAGGCCTAGGGAACCAGTGAGAGATGACTTCAGGCTTTGGTCCGTATAGTGGCAGACACTTCCTTTGTGGAAACATCAGCTATAAATTGAGCTAGAATTTCTGATTTAATGTTCCTAGGAGACAGTAATGTCACTGCTGAGATGGTACAGTACTGTGCAGAAGTCAGAGACCACCCATCATGTATTTAACTTCCAGTCAAAATGGCCATTAAGTCTGAGTTATTAATGTTATTAGATATAATGTTAGATATATGATAATCCACTCAAAAAACAAGAGTTTCCAAAGCTAGAGTTCATCTTTGACAGAGAGGAGAAAATCAAGCTGCTTCTGATCTGAAAACATCCACAGGTGTTTCTGTCCATCCTTCCACTGTGAGAAGACAACTCAGTGCTGTGGGTCTGAAAGGATGTGTAGCTGTCAAGAAGCCTCACTGAGAAAAGGAAAATTTGCTCTAGAACACCAAAACTGGACATGAAGTAAGGTTTTATGGACTGATGAGTCTAATTTGAAGCAGAAAATGCAACCAACTTCTAAGACTGGACTTTAGAGGTGTGGAAGAATGTAAAGTGAGTCTCCTGAAAAGAATGGAAGCTGTGATAAAGGCGAGGAGTGGGCACTGATATTATATTTAATTGTTGAGGATTCTGTGTCATTTTCCATTCAGTTTTAGTGGCTGTTTTGACTGGAAATGTTGTGTACAGTACTGAATACATCCAGAAGAGAAGATTTAAATGTGTGCCTCATTGCCAGAGCAATACATCAACACTAATAGTGCCCAAAGTATTTAAATAGGAAGACAAAATTGAGCTGTGTGACATATAAGCAAATTGAATTTCAGTGCACTAATTCATTATGTGAATATTGATTGCTGTGTGCTGGACGCTGATCAGAATTACTGCATTATTCTTCTCTCAGTTTCTGTCCTCAGCTGCCTGTTATTCTGTATGTTGGTGTGATGGTGTCTGCACTCTCACCAGTCTGTGTTTATAAATGGTCATTGCTGTATTTTTTTGTTGTTTTCGCTATAGTGAAGCCTCAGCTCGGCCTGTAACTCATCATTATTCTTTGGAAGCACATAGGCTTTGTAGCTCTGACAGAGAGAGGTCCAATTATCCCGCTAAAGCGAATATCTCACAAGTTCTGTCACACACACACTCTCACACACACACGCAGCCGTACTGCAGCAGGTGCAGGAGGAGAGCGGCCACTGAGTCATCTTCCAATTCCTGTTGGCTTGTACCAACCGTGGTGATCACAGGGGGGGTGGGCAGCCCGCGTGCTGTTTTGTGTTTGGATCGGGCGCTTTGATGATGCTTGTTTGTAGACGTGTAATGCTGGGTTTTGGGGCTTGTCTGCAGATCACCCCCCTGCGAGGGCCGCGGGAAGGAGGCACGCTGGTGACGATCCGGGGGGAGAACCTGGGCCTGGAGTTCCACGAGATTCAGGGCAACGTGAAGGTGGCGGAGGTGGAGTGTACGCCCGTCCCTGAGGGATACATCCCCGCAGAACAGTGAGTTTTCGAAACGGAAATAAGAAAGCAAAACACACCCCCACAAAAAATGCATATAACACACGCTCTTAAAAATACAGATGTCAAATGGAGTCAAAAAGTGATGAGTGATGCCATAAAAAACTCTTTTTAGGGTTTTTCGGAGCGATGCCATAAAAAAACACTTTTTTCTCTACAGAAATTTTCAGTGGTTGGAACCATTTTGTAAATTTCCAAATGTGACGAACATTTTGAAGGTATAAAGGACCTCCTGTACCAGTTAAATGTTATACCTAGTACCCATATGTTTCCACGAACCATTACAGAACCGTTATTTGTAAGAGTGCAGGTGCTTTAACAATACAAAAAACACAAACAAAGTGAAATATGACAAACAAGCTGTGTCCACTATCAAAATAGTTTCATTCTAATCAATATGATGTGACATTTCAAGTGAAAATGCTCTTCATCATAACTTACACTTACCTGATGTTTTAGCGTTTTGGCAGACAGCAGTTATCCCTCCATGCGCTCTAGCTTTTGCATGTTTGCTCATACATTTATTCATACTTATGTATATTAATATGAATGTACAGTCTTAAAAATAAAAGTACCTCTTTGGAGCAATGCCACAGGAGAACCACTCCTGGTTCCTTAGATCCCTAAAGTAATGGCTCCTTAGGAACCCCAGACAGTCCAGATTTTTTGTTTTTCATAGTCGTAAAGACATTTTGCAGAATTCCATAAGTGTTATTGGTAACAGTTTACTAGAACCCTACTAGAACCCAAAACATCAATATAACCATAATGTGTGCCATAAACATGTAATGGCAGACGTCTTATGCTGTCATGACAGGTTTTGTTCGGTGTCATGTTACCGTTACCGGTCATTTTTAAAGTGTGCCATTGTCACATTAAACGTTATGACATCTGTCATGACAATTAAAGGCGATAGATGGATGGATGAATGGATGGATGTATGTATGTATGGATGGATGGATAGATGGATAGAGGTTTAGTGATCCTGAAGGGAAATTGCAGTGTTACAGTAGCAAGACATTGATTGCGCATAAACGTACTTATATTAGGCAGAAATAAAGACAGAAATAGAAATAGACAATAATTAGGCAGAAAAATATACATAGCATTGAAGACAGATCTGTTGTATTTACATGAGAGCAGGTATTGCACTAAGTGCTATGAGGTAGTTACAACACAGTGCGTATAAACATAACTAGGAGAAACAGCAGTATTTACAGTCTAAAGTGTCATTACAGTAGCAGGTTATGATAAATTGCACAGTGTGTGTTAACAAGAGTGGTGATATAGTGATGTGGTTCAGCACAGTTCAGGCAGAAGGAGGTCAATAGTAACACAGTACTGTTATATTCCTGGACATAATCTGTCATGACATCTTACAACAGCTTATGACATCTGCCATGTGCTACTTTATCGTTTTGGTGTCATCACTATTATTCTAAAATATGGACTGTTACTACTGTTATGATGTCAAGCTTGTAACAGTAGAAGAACCCTTGTTGGTGCTCTATAGAACCATATGGAACCATTCTCCATCAGTCTGAAGAATCATTTCACCACGCAAAGAACCATTTAAGCATGAGTTTTTTATATATAGAACTCGTGGTCCTATGTAGCACCCAAAAGGGTTCTTCTGTTGGCATCGTAACAAGAGAAGAACCATTTTGGTTGTATATTTAATCGTATACAACATGTTCTCCATCAATCAGACAGACCATTTCACCATGCAAAGAAGCATTTAAGCATGAGTTTGTTCTATATAGAACTTGTGGTTCTATGTAGCACTCAAAAGGGTTCTTCTGTTGTTACAAACTTGACATTATAACAATGGAAGAACCATTTTGGGTGCTTTATATAATCATCTACAACATGCTCTCCGTTAATCTGAAGAACCATTTCACCATGCAAAGAACCATTTAAGCATGAGTTTGTTCTATATAGAACTTGTGGTTCTATGTAGCACCCAAAAGGGTTCTCCTGTTGTTACAAGCTTGACATCGTAACAAGAGAAGAACCATTTTGGTTGTATATTTAACCGTATGCAACTTGTTCTCCATCAATCAGAAGGAACTTTTCACCATGCAGAGAACCATTTAAGCATGAGTTTGTTCTATATAGAACTCATGGTTCTATATAGCACACAAAAGGGTTCTTCTGTTGTTACAAACTTGACATCATAACAATAGAAGAACCATTTTGGGTGCAATATATAACCACATACAGCACGTTCTCCATCAGTCTGAAGAACCTTTTCACCATTTAAGCATGAAATTGTTCTACATAGAGCTCGTGGTTCTAAGTAGAACTATTCCCTTTATTAAAGAACCTTTGAACCATCTTTTTAAGACTGTAGGTTTATTCTCCTCACAGCACGTTGGTTTGGCAGGTGATGGGAGCCATGTTCCTCAAAAGTGCCACAAAAAGTTAGAAGTTCTAGAAGTTCTCTTCTACAATACTTTATTCAGCCTTGGGTTATTTAGCCCAGACTGTCCGTGTCTACCTGTTCTTCAGTACAGGCTGAGCCCGGTCCAAACCAGCCAGGCGTTGCCTTAATCCCTCTGTGGGCTCTGAGTGGGCGATAGGGATCAGGAGTGGAGGCAGAGAGGAGTATTAAAGCAACTTTTAATCCCAGGTCAGGACAGAGGAGATAATTACGTGTTATTTGGCGAGGATTTGAGGAGCCATGCCGGCTGTTTGAGGGAACAGAAATTATTATTACATTATTATTACGCTGACCTCAAAAAAAAGAGAAAAGAAGTTCCTTTCGTTCGCCATCTCTCTCCATTCCTGCAGAGCTGCCACATGTGTTTTGTCCGAGGCTATGATAAGCCTCTTACAGTATTGTCTGATAAGTTTTTGGTTTGTCACAGAATGAGGAGATGGATTAGAGGCTGCATTAACCTTTTAACTCCACAGCCTTCCTCCGTACATACTGATGGAAACGTAGCAGACGTAGCAGAAAGTCTGAAAAGAAGCACTTTTGAGAGGAAATTATTGTATTTAACCCTTTGAAGTCCAGTTACTGATGTTGTTTTGCTACATATTTGATGCACATTTCAGAATTTAAATGTAATTTTGGTACACACTTAAAAAAGATGGTTCTTCAAGGGTTCTTTGGTAAAGAAAATGGGTCTATATAGAACCACGAACACTTAAAGAACCCTTTGCATGATTAAAGAGTTCTTTGCATTGTGAAAGGTTCTGCAGATTGATGGAGAATAAGCTGTAGATGGTTCTATATAGAACCTGTTTGATAGAGCATCAAAAAGGGTTCTTCAATTGCTATGATGTCAGGCTTGTTGCAGTAGAAGAATCCTGTTTGGTGCTGTATAGAGCCCTTTTCAAGAAGGTTCTATACAGGGTCATTTTCTTTACTAAAGAACCCTTTAAGAACAATCATTTTTAAGTGTGTGGGACAACCTTAGCACTGTGATGCGTGAAAATGGGTCTATATAGAACAATGAACACTCAAAGAACCCTTTGTGTGCTTTAAGCGTTCTTTGCATCGTAAAAGAGTTCTTCAGATTGATGGAGAATGTGTTGTAGATGGTTCCTTATGGAACCTTATTGAAAAGGGTTCAATATAGCTTCCATGGGTTGTTACAAGCTTAATATCATAACAATAGAAGAACCCTTTTTGGTGCTATATATATATATATATATATATGTATGTGTGTGTGTATATATGTATTATATGTATTGATTAAAATTTTGTATGAACAGGTCTGAGTATATATATATATATATATATATATATATATATATATATATATATATATATATATATATATGTATACTATATATATATATTTTGTATGAACAGGTCTGAGTAGTCTGAGTATATATATATATATATATATATATATATATATATATATATATATATATTTTGTATGAACAGGTCTGAGTATACCTTCTTACCATTTGTGTCAATGACAAAAAATGCCAAAAACAGGCTTCCTGAGTGGTGCAACTGTCTAAGTAGGGCTGGGCAATATGACAATATTTATCATTATTGTGATATATTATGTCACAATATGTCACATCAAGCTTTTCTGAGCATATTTTGAATCTTGTCAGTACTTAAAAACACTTCCCATCTGCCTGCTTATTACAGAGAGAGCGTAATCAGTCCTGTTTAATTGGATTTGGTGCAGCACAGTATCTGACTGTATGTTCATTCCAAATGACTGGATTCATAGGTTTTGGTACTGCTTTTTAAATGCGGCTCTACTTTATCTGTTCCGAAAGATGAAAGATAGATGTCAGGCCTTATCATGTATCCTGACAACTTCTTGAAATGTGATTTGACGTTTTTGCCATATCACCCAGCTAAGCATCTAAGCATTTGCCCTATCATAAGTTCACTCCATGGAGATGCCAGAGCTATCCGAGTCCAAAGGATTTTAATAGTCCTCTCTCTCTCTCTCTCTCTCTCTCTCTTTCTCTGTCTCTCTCTGAACTAGCGATGAAAAACATGTACCCGTTTACTGCAGTATAAAATGAAGACCCCTTAGAAGCAAAGGTTCTATATAGAACCATCCACAGAACATTCTCCATCAATCTGAAGAACAATTTCACCATGCAAAGAACCCTTTAATCATGTGAAGTGTTCTTTGAATGTTCACGGTTGTATATAGAGCCATTGTCTTTACTAAAGAACCCTTGTGTAGTTTTTAAATTTTCTATTAGTTTATATTTTTTATTTACTTATTTTTTATTTTCGATTTCCGGTTAGTTTTAAGTTCGTTTTAAGGGTGTGTTATTGGCTTTTATTTGCTTGAAAGGAAGTATTTCAGATTAATTTTTATTTAGTTTTAGTTTTGTTTTAAATTATGGGCCAAACTTGACTTTTCCTTCAGATGAGTTCTGCAGTATTAAAATTAGCGCCATGGTAGACTGTGCTCAGCTAAGGACATCACCAGATGTGGTACACATCTTGTTGATCTTCCAAATAAAAATAAGTTTGAAATAAAAATGCATCCTGTATAGAGAACACACATTTACACACATCTGCACATTTATATGAACAGTTACTGTTTGTTTGCTGAATTCAACATGTGTAGAAAGTGGCTTCTCAAACACTGTGGCATCTTTTTATATTTTATGTTTTATTTTTTTCCCAAGATGTTATAAATAAATAAGAATAGTGCACTAAAATTAGCAGAACAATGAGATATTTGAGTGTGTTCTGTGTAGAAGATGCGTTATTTACTTATTTTCACTTAGAAAGTCAATAAAACCTCCCATTTAAGTGGGGATGTTTGAGCTTTTGCAGACGATCGTATGTGCCTGTGTTCATTTTCCAGGATCGTGTGTGAGATGGGTAAAGCGGAGAAGAGCCAGTACGCTGGAAACGTCCAAGTGTGTGTAGGAGAATGTCAGCCCGAGTTCATGGCCAAGACATCAAAGTACTACTACTTTGTGGTGAGTTAAGCCTTTAATATGGTGATTTACACACAGTCAAATGAGACCAAGAGACTGCTGGGCAAATCTTAATCATGAGCGTGTAATTAAAAGCCTTTGCCAATACTGGGTTAAGTGTGCTTGGATTTACTATACACCAGCCTAATAAAGGGCTGAGACTTTGGCCGCACGGTCCTCCTTATGCGCTCGTCATAATATTATCGCAAAGAGAGATCGGCCCATAATTACGAATGTGGGAGCACACGCGGCGAGGCTGACCATAAAACGTCTCCCTCTCTCCTCAAGCCAATAGAAAACACTTAAATCAGAGGAACGTGGACAAGTCTATTGATTTGCAGCGTAATCGGCCCCATTAGCCTCATATAATGTGCCCCGTTATCAGTTTTATGCATACGTTAATGGCCTCCACTGCTCCTGTACGATATCGTAATTGGATTATGAGATCTGAGGTGAAGGAGTAGATAAAAAACAAGGAAGAAGGAGATTGTTATGTGATGGAGAGAATGAGGAGGAAAAGCCCACTAGGCTTTGGGCCTCACCTTCCGTCAGCATGCAGCGAGTGCCTGGGTCAGATCGCTTGAGTTGACTTCCGCCCTCCGCAGGTACCCAAATTGATGTACCTGAAGCCCAGCCGGGGACCCGTGTCTGGGGGCACCATCGTCAACATCACGGGCAGCAATCTGGACGCCGGAAGCAACGTGTCCATCATATTCAAGGACCAGAAGTGTACCTATCACAGGTAACGTCCAACTGCTACGATCAGAGATGTCCAATTCTGGTCCTGCACTCTTGGCAAGTGAAATTATCTCAAAACTGGTCGATATAACTAGTAGTTCTCGTTTTGGGATTGTTGTAAGAATAAAATACAATTATTTCAGTTATTTTTAGACTTGGTTTAAGTTATAAAACTTGGGATCTGTATGGGCATTATTTCTTGAAACAAAATTATGTAACTTTATTGGAAGTCTAGTTACCAGTAAACTACAGTAAATATACAGCATTGACATTTTACAGCAATTTTACTGTAATTCTATTGCTTTAAAATCACAGAAACTATTGTGAACGCACAGATTTTGTTGCAACGATGGTTACAGTTACACTTGTTGTATGCAACAGTTTGGGCGCCTCTGGTCTCTGATGTGTTGTGTTGATTTTCTGATAGTATAAATAAGTGAACACATCCTCTACAGAGAACACACTTCTGCACATTTTAATGAACTATTAACATTTATTTATTTGCTATTATTGCAATATTTAACATATTGGAAAAAAATAAAACATAAAAAATGTTATGTAAAAGCTATATTTTATGTTTTATTTTTTCTTAAAAAATAAATGTTAAACAAATTCAAAATGGATACAAACTGTGCACTAAAACTTGCAGAAAATGCCATATTCAGGTGGTATAAACTTATTTTTACTTAGAAAATCAACAAAACATGTAATTTGACTAAGGATGTTCACAAATTTGCATACAACTGTACATCAGCGATTGCGACCCAGTAAAGCCAGCATCGCTGACCTCACTTGTGGGAGCTACACTCTACAGATAATGGAGCTATAACACAGGACAACAACAACAACCTATTAACTCACTAATCTCCAGTATATACAGCACAAAGCCATATTAATCTATGTAATGATTAGTATCTCACATTTCTATTATTTCTAATGTATTTAAACATATATATTAGATTCTCTCTTCATGAGATCTTGCATGTTTTGAGTTAATGTTATTTGAAAAAGTGTTCTTAGTTCCCCGTAGTGAAGATTGCAGGGCATTCTGGGTAGTTACTTTTTACAGGAACTTACTGTAAATGATACAGTAAACTGTTAAAAATCGACAGCAGTTAATGTGATTAACAATTTTAATGCTACACAATCTTTAAAAAGATGATTCTTCAAGGGTTCTTTAGTAAAGACCGTGGTTCTGTATAGAACCATGAACACTCAAAGAACCATCTGCATGCTTAAACGGTTCTTTGGCTGGTGATATGGTTCTTCAGTTTGACCAAAAATGTGTTGTATATAGTTCTATAGAACGTTTTTGAAAATGGTTTATCGTAACAATAGCAGAACCCTTTTTGGTGCTATATAGAACCCTATTCGAAATGGTTCTATATGGAACCATATACAACACCTTCTCCATCAATCCGAAGAACAGTTTCATCATGCAGAGAACTATTTAAGCATGCAAATGGTCCTTTGAATGTTCATGGTTCTACGTAGAGCCATTGTCTTTAATAAAGAACCCTTGAAGAACCATCATTTTTAAGTGTATAGGATTACAGTAAAATTACTGTAAAATGTAAAGCCGTACAATTAAGATAATATCTGTAGATGCAACTACTTAAAGTAAGTAAAACATTTAGAAATCATTTAAATACTCTTATAATATTCATACAGCAACCTTATAGTGGGTAATATTATGCATATTGATAAAATGTAAGATGTTTTCATTTGCCAAGATATCACTTTTGCAGTGTGTCCAGCACAACAATGAGTGATTTCCCTGCTCTAACATAGCACATAGCACTGAAAGAAGCATGAAAAAATAGATTACACAATTGTGTCTTTCTGTTTACTCTGTTTTTTTGCAATAATTGTGTTAATAAAATGTATTTTATTTATGTAAAATGAATCAATGAATCAATGAATCAAGTAAATTCAGTGCTTCACTAAGCCTGGTAACTGGCTGCTGAGCTGTATCAGGTATGTCTGAGCAGAAAAATCACAAAACTGTCCAAGACTGAAGCTGGACACCCTTGACCAAGATGCCTATACGACAGAATCATGTGTGGGGCGAAAGGAGGGGTCAGTGGGCAGTAGCGTCATAAAACAGCAAGGACGCTTCGATCAATTCTGACATTAAGACCGAGGCAAGTTCTTGATCTCTAATCAATAACGTCAATAGCAATCACACCTCATTTCTACTACGACTGCAAACGTGCCAAAAACGAGAGATGGATTTGGTGGTTTGCACTGATGTCTCTGTCTTTCAGAGATTCTTTCCACATGATTTGCTTAACAATGCATAACATGGCAGTGATTCAAGGCTAATAGTTTGTAGTCTTCAAAACCTGTTTTTTTTTGTGGTAAAATTGACTTGGAGGTCACAATTCGCAGCACATTATGAATTCATTTTTCTCTTCAGTAAGAAGCCCCAACAAAAGCTCGCAAGCCTCTTGAAATGCCAGTGACAGACTAAATGAAGTCATTACAAATGACAATAGTACCCGTCTTAGTTCTTATACTGCTCTCCTTAGACAGTGTGAATGAAATAACGTGTTTGTTTGATCACGCAGGAGAGGAGGTCAGTGGATCACGTGCCGTTCTCACGCATCCACGCAAGGCTACGGCAACGTGACTGTGTCTGTGTTCGTGGACAAAGCCCACATCCAGAAGGACCTCAGGTTTGAGTACGTGGAGGACCCCACTATAACCAAGCTGGAACCAGAGTGGAGCATTTTCAGGTATGTCAGCCTCAAAGACATCAGCAATGTCAGATTCAGGCATAGTGTGAGATGCATGCTGTTCAAAGGTGGGCGATATTTTATCGTTATCGTGATAATTTTTATCATTATACACAACATGCTTTTATGAGAATATCATGGATATTGTGAGTAATTAAAGAACACTGATCAACTGCGTGTTTCTTTACAAAGAGAGGATAGTTTGTCATGTTTAATGGTGTTTAGTGCAGCACAGTGTGTGAAATAATTACTGTATTCATAGTTTTTGATGGCAGGTATTGAATGTGAATCTTCTTGCATATTTTGTCTGTTTGTTAATATATCGTGATGCATGTTGTGTATCGTGAAAATGCTTCTAAGTATTGTGATACGATATTTTCCATATCGCCCTACCTTTAAAACTATGCCTGAAAGTGGCCACCAAGAAGATTTGAATCACCTTTTTTCAATAATACAGAACCAACTTGGCTGCAGACAATTTTAAATAACTAATTGGACTCTAGGAGGCTGTAAATAAAAATTAATAAGTATTAAATGTATCCAGAATGATGAAAAGAGCTGTAGAAGTGTGAAAGCTGTAATAAAAACAAAACTGCAATAACATTAATATTCAGAATTCAGCATTTTTTAAAGGTAGAGACAGGCAGATAGCTTGACAAAATTAATGTAAATAGATACTTACAGTACATTATTTATCATATATCACTTCTCTGTTCACAAAATTCAAGAAATGTGGGATAAAACATCTAAAAATAGTGAATAGTTTGTAATATTTAAATACAGACTACATAAGTTATTATTATAAATAACTCCCATTGCCTTGATTGGATCTGATAGGTTGCATATTTAATCCTTTGATCGACTGACAAAGAAAAAGCCATGGCCGGCCACAGACCATCAATCTATATCCGCTGTGATCTTGTGGTCAGGCAATACAGTGGGATACCTCAGAGTAATATGAAACCGGTTACCATGGAATTCGAAGTTGGTCTCATGTTCAAATTTAAGGCAAACATGTCGTTCCACATTTGGTCATCGGACAATGGGATAAACATAAAAACTGGGTATAACACTTTACTTGAACTCTGCTGCTTAATATTAACATAGCCAGGCCATAAACATCAAGGCAGATACCAAATGCTGTCATAAGAGCTTATGTCCAGTAATAAACAGTGATGTTACTATTATTATATACTGTTATGATATATGTCATAATGTTTGATGTGATGACGGCTGACTAGAGTACACTATAGCACTTTACTCAAGGGCGACAAAAAAATATCAAGAAAAAACAAATTATCATGATACATATCATGTATTTTGAAAATGTTTTCAAGTCCTATGTTGTGTTTTCCCCATACCGCCCACCCCTATGACAAATGACGCTTGCTGGAATAAGCCTTTATAAAGGTCTGGGTAGGTTTATGTGATGTAGGCTTATGAATGCTAGCAAAAATGTGGCATCAGTCATGACAGTTACTGGTAATGGTTACATGATTTTGTTGTATTACTGAGCCGAATCTGTCATAACAACTCGTGACAGAATATGACATCTGCTATGACATGTTTATGGCACAGTTATGTCCATGTTATGTAGTAAGGCTCAAGTAAAGGTTTCCAAGAATTACATAGTGTTTTTAAAGTTTGGTACAATTTAAAGTCAACAAATAAGCTTTTCCTGAGAACATGTAATCTTGTCTTACAGTGGAAATACACCGGTGACAGTGACGGGCACCAACCTGGACATCATCCAGAACCCTCAAATCAGAGCCAAGTACAACAACCAGGAGACGACCAACGTGAGTTCAACCGCTGTTTAACCCTGAACGGTCAATGAGTGTTCCCCTTTCACCCACACAGGAGCTGGTGAACCATAACGACCATCAGCAGGGTCATTTCACCTGCTCCACAGCTTCTGATGCGGGAAATGCACCGTTGGCTCCAGCAATGTGGCAGGAGAACAGAGGGAGAGAAAGAAATAGAGAATGAAAGACAAGAAGAGAGAGAAACAGAGAGCGAGAGGACTGGACCCACCAACAGTGGCGACAATGTCCCCTTCGCTTTGTGAAGGAGGGAGGAAATCGCCGTAACACTGGAGACAGGGGTATTGCGTTACCCTCGCGCAGAATGGGCCCATAGATCCGTGGGAGGCTTGCATTCACCGAGACCTGATTGAAAGTCTGCAGAGACAAAAGAGTGAAATGTTATCTCGCTGCCGTATCTCTCACACGAGCCCATACGGCATCTGTAGCCGCGATATGATAAGGCTCTGGCACGCCGCTCCTTAAAACAGAGCAGAAAAAAGTTCCCCCTCAAAGCGTCTGAATATAGCACTCTTGTTCTCCCTTGGCTGTAATAACCAGGCTGGAAAGAGCCTGACCGGTTTGGATGCTCTGTGAAATGGCGCCCCCTATCTGCGAAACGCAGAAGACACTTCCAGCATTTTCCCTCTCATCCTTTTTGTATGAGGGAGCAGAGAGTCTCTGGTGTCTCTCAGGATTTGTCAGTCTGACTGTTCAGGCTTTGTGAGGAAACCAATTAAAATGGCCAGGAGGCTCAGAGGGGAAGTTTCTGAATGCCGAAACGTCCGCCTGGATGTTTTACCAGCAGCTCAAAGCCGCAGAATGGAATTTATGAGCCTCGCCAAACATTTATTCACACGCATCATAAAAAAGGAAGGCGCATTTGACTGAGGCCAGACAGCAGCAACCTGAAAGTGGCAGTTTTGTTGACCTGCTCTCTTTTAGCATGAGAGAGGGAAAGAGGGAAAAAAGTAAATGATGAAGAAAGCAAGAAGGAGGAGAGAGATGGAGAGAGTAGGGGAGAGAGAGATAAAAGAAAGGAGAGAGGTGATGGTGCTGAGTGTTTCTCGGGAAAGTGAAGGTGAGCTCGGTTAGTTATGTGGCGGTGACTCATCAGCATCACAGCGCACATCAAAGGCTTGGTGTGCTGAGAGCAGCCATTTTAAAACTGCCAATGATTTAGCGCTCCTTTGGTGAGGGGGTGGGATCTGTGTGTGTGTGTGTGTGTGTGTATGTGTGTGCGCACTCAGGGGACTGCCATTTTGAGAAGATGAGGTTAAACCCAGGTTCTTCCTGTAATAGTGGTAGCAGCAGATTCCTCTGAGAAACACTGCAGATGGGAAGTCTATTATTTTTCGGTCCATACAGAAATAAGGGTCTGAAACTGTCACTGAAGCAGTCCCTCTCTTGTCACTGGGGTGGGACCCTCAAGGGTCCATCTCAGTACCTTTAGTCAGGGAACATAACTGAACCAAAATCCACTGAAATGATATGTTCTAAGCTGTACTGACTCCACACACCCTGTCTCGTCTCCAGGCTTCTATTTTACTGTTCTGTTTTAAAACATTCGGTTATGAAAAGGTACAAATACGAACTTTTCACCTGGAAAAACTTATTTAAGGTTCACAATCAGACCTTAAAACCACTGTTGTACCTTTTAGGGAACATTTTCATTGTTTGTAGCTTTGTGAATGCAGAGAACCTTTATTTCTAACAGTGTTGACTTTCCAAATACAGTAGATGGTTGACTTGCCATTATGAGATGTACTGTAACTAGTTTTGTGTCAGTCCATCTATCCAACCATCCATACCTCCTTCCCTTAATTCAAAAATCCAATCTATCATTGATTCATCCATTCAAACCAATCATGCATCCATCCAACAATGCAAACATCTAATCCTTCGCTCCATCCTCCAGCCTTTCCATTCAACCACTAGCCGTTCAAGACTGAAACAAAAGCCTGGTTATTTATGCTGTTTTGTCTGCTCTTCTCCCTTAATAGCATGACGTTTCTGTTCTGTTGGTGCACTTATTTACATTTGTAACAAAGCGAATATTCTTAGATTTTTCTTCAGTTTGTGTCACGAACTACATTTTTGAATAAGCAAACATGAATAAGAATGAGTCACACATATGTTTTAGCATTAGTCTGATTAAAGAAAACAATAATAATCAGTGTGTTCTGAATGAGCACAGTACATCCAATAATAAAAGAAGCCTTGTGCATCTTTAACACAGCGATAAAAACGTAGTAGCACACAGAAATCTCAGATTCTGCATACTGATACGTTTCACTCTGTCCAGCGTAGACCTCTGAGAGCAGATTTAAATGAGTTAAAGGGACCATCACCACATTCTCAGAACAGATAACCAGTGAGACACTTGGTTCCATAGGGTTAATTCATTAATTCCTCAACCTCAATCAATCAATCAGTCAATCAATCAATCAATCAGTCAACCTTTATTTAAACTTAAATTGAGGGAGACCCTCATTTACAATGTAACCGAGCCAATACAAAAATCAGGGATTGAGAAGTTAAACAATAAAAACATATCAAATGCTAAAAAAGTAGTAATAATCATAGTAGGAAATAAAAAAATAAATCAATAAACCATTAATAGTACAACAATATAGTAACTTAATAAATAAGATAAATAAAAATATAACGAATGAAATAAATAAAGAAATAAAAGATGTAAAACAATAGCTTGACAATTTTAGAATAAATAAAATAATTCAAATGAAACAATAGCTAAATAACAATAATGCTCTCTGTATACTCTCACGTCCACCCATATACGCTTACTGAACACTCAATTAGACTCACCTATATTGTTGCTACACATTGTAGGTGAACAGTAAAAGACTGTAGAGGCACAGTTCATTTCAGTCATGCTCTAGCCTTTCATCAGAGGTCAGTTTCTGACCACAAGACCACTGTTGGGTGGATATTCCTGCTTTTAAATTTGGAATTCAACCAATTTTTCAAGATGTCTGCACAACTGAGTGGCTTAATGTGAAATGGTTAATTGTAGAGAAACTTTTGTCCATTTTATTACTGTCCAAAATTACTAGTCAAACTTCTAAACTTTTATGTAAAACAATGTCTCGGGCATCAGGCAGTGTAACCATCTCATATAATAACATTCTGTGAGGGAGCTTTTAGAGGTAGACGTCTGGTTCCTATCACCACCACTGTGAACAGTTCTGACTCTCTAAGTTTCTCTAAAATGAAGCATTTCACACCAAACCATTCTGAGAGGCTGCTCACATCTTAACCATTTCATTTTAAAGAAATTTTGAAACTTGGTGGAATTCCCCTTTAAGACTAGTCTCAACCCAGCCGTTACACTGGCATCTCAAAACCCCATCAACACTGCTGTGTCTGATACACTAAAATGGCACTCCCATTCTGTTTTCATTACTGGGCTGAGAATGGTCCACCAAGCGAGTCATAACTGGTCTGTGGTGGTCCAGTGATAGATGGACTGATGAACTGTACAGTAGATGAGCTCCAGTCTGTAACTGTAAACCTGCATAGATGCATCTTTATGATTTACTTAGTAAGATGGCCAGTGAGAGTAGGCACAACGTAAGTGAGCCCGACAAACTTCAGCAAATTGGCTCAGCGTAATCCGCTCTGTTTCTCTTTCATCTCCTCCACAGACTTGCCAGGTGTTGAGTGCCACCACCATGCTGTGCCAGGCCCCAGCGCTGCCAGGCAGCTTGAACAGGGAGGAGGTGGTGGAGAAACCAGATGAGTTTGGCTTCATCCTGGACAACGTGCAGGCTGTGCTGGCCCTCAAGAACATCAACTTCCTCTACTACCCAAACCCAGTGTTCGAGCCGCTCAGTGCGTCTGGGGTTCAGGAGCTCAAGCCTGGATCTCCCATCATTCTGAAGGTATTTCAGTGTTCAGGACAGGCAATATGTATTCCAGTATAGTATGTACTATGTATTATACATTATAGTACATACTATATGGGTCTTTGTTGATAACAGACTCTTAAATTGACCAATCTTTAATTAATTACAAACCCCCAATCTGACGCACCTGATTCAGTTAATCAAGCCTTCAGGAGAGTCTGGATGTGAGAATTAGGTTGATCTGATTACAGCTGTAATAAAACTCTGCAGGATAATCACCAGAAGCAAAACAAATTAAGAATCATTTAGGTGTACACTATTGCTATTGTTTTGCATGCTGTACACTGTTTCATCAAACACTTCTGTTCTGTAATAAACACATTGAAAAGCTAAAAGGGTCATGTTGCTTCCAAACCTTCAGCCTATATTGTAGGAGTACCTAATAGAGCGTTTCCCACAGGTCTGAAACAACCCTGGGGGCAACGTGGGGTGGTGGGGGAGCTTATGTGAATATACAGACATCCAAATTCATCATAGCATTTGTTTACTTACTCACAATGTGAAACATGTCACTGTAAAATTACAGTAGATTGCTGGCTAGTAGTTGAATTACGTACATTTACAGCATTTGGCAGACGCTCTTATCCAGAGCGACTGACAATTTGATCGTTTTACACAGGCAGGTGAAGGTAGTGTTGGGAGTCTTGCCCAAGGACTCTTATTGGTATAGTGTAGGGTGCTTACCCAGCCTGGGATTGAACCCCAGCCTACAACGTAGAAGGCAGAGGTGTTACCCACTACACTACACCAACAATTACTTCAACAGTAACATGCTGTAACATATTAAGAGTAAATAACAGGAACTCTATACTGTGAGTCCAGAGTCAGCTGGAGCACAAGATCACTGTGATGTAGCTTCATTCTACTGTACACTTACTGTAATAAACTGGAATTAAAATACAGTAACCTCCTGTATTTTTACATAACAATAGCTAAACTTAGCAGTGATCTATTTAGTGTAATTTATTTTTAATTTTATTAGACCTGTAAGTATTTTAATAAAAACAAACAAGAAAACAAAAACAGTGAACGTATTTATTCACCATGTTTTGCTCTATATATGCACAGAATATCTGAATAGGCATTTGCCTATAATCTGCACAAAAATGACCAAAACTCACATCTGGCGATACCAAAAAACAGTAACATTTTGGTCAAAAATCCTTCAAATATCAAAATGTGAATTAAAAAGAATCAAAAATGTTTTCATTCAAATGCCTTTTTAACCCTGATTGCCATCATATTTGATAATTCTTACTACAGAAAATATCTTAAGATGAATAGATTTAACAATAAAAATGATGAATACAGTATTTTACTATGAAACTGAACTGAATGTTAAATATTGTGAAATGCTAGCAATAATTAACAGTGCAGGTCTTTTAATAAGGCTCCAAAGGAATGACTGTCAGTACTGAGAATATGTGGAGTTGGGTAAAGGAGGATGTAATATACTATGACATATTAGCAGACTAGCCTATATGAGCACAGCAGTCACTGAGGTAGCAGCCAGAACAGCATTTAGGTCGTTGAAATGAGCACAGCAAAAAGAGTGATGCTGTGCGTAAGTGACACCGTGTGCTGTTGTTTAAATGTCAAATATTTTCCTTCGGAATTTGTTATAATGGGACAAAATATACTTGGGTTGCCATCAACGTCCTTAGGGCACATGTAGCCTTTGTGTGGGAAACACTGACTAGTAGGACACCATATTGCGTATTCTGTGCAAGTGTCCCAGCCGCATTAGTCTCTTTCAAAAAGAAACTTTAAAGACCGTCTTTCATTCTAGTTTCTAATCTTGCTATTTGCTCGATGTGCAGTTATTCATTCTATTCTGAATGTCTGTTCCAGGGCAGGAACTTCCTCCCCCCGACCCCTGGTGGCAACGGCAAGCTGAACTACACAGTTCTGATCGGAGAAAAGCCCTGCACCTTAACCGTATCTGACACCCAGCTGCTGTGCGAATCGCCCACTCTAACTGGCCGCCACAAGGTCCTGGTGAGTGACCACTGCGTTTTGGATACTTCATCATGTCCTCAGAATCCTCTTTCTTCAGTGGTCCAGTGTACCGTCGTGCGTACAGTTATTGTCCGGCTTTAAAGGCAGACAGAGGGACGACAAACAGCATCTCTGTAAGACATATTAGAGCTGGGCACAACCTAATAGAGGCTCCATTTGTGATTTGAGTGGGAGCGCTGGGCCAGCGCCACCTGGCCTGCTGACAGACGATCGGCAGACAGAGCTGCAGATCCGTTTACCGTCACAAACACACAAACACAGCAGGCATTGTGGGTCCGTCTGCTGCCGTCTCTGTTTGCTTTAATATCGCACGGTGAAGTGCCAGCTTTTCCGCCCAGACATTCGTTTAAGTGCACCTCGTACTCCATATTTAAGAAGGCCTTTGTGTAGCTGCATTTGTGATCCATTTAGATTAATGTCACACTGAAGGAGATCTACAGCTCCCTGCTGTGTCTGCTTTAGGTCATGCCGAGGTGTAAATGATGTGGAATCTTATTCATTTAGAGTTAAATTCAGTAACCAAAGATCTAGAAAAGTCCCATTATACCTTTGACCCCTTGTACTGTTCAGATTAGCCTGGTTTCACCTGCTTTAACTTGATTGTTTTGCTTTCCTTTGTCGCTGCTCACAGTAGATCATAAAACATACAGACAGCGATGTCAAAACTCTCATAATAGGAATCTAATAAAAGGGGAATCCCACCGGTTTTGCAAAATTTTTTCGATAATTTAGTGGTTGAGATGTAAACAAAGTCATTCAGTGGTTTGATGTGAGATGGTTCATTGTAGAGATTTACCTACTCAGATTTCTTTACAGTGGTAGTGACAGGAACCAGGTGTCGTGATGATCACCAGGCAAATGTAGCCTTTTATATGGCCGCTGTGGACACACCAGTCAGCCTGCATGTGTCTACTGAGTTTCTATATGTAATGTTGATGATGGTAAATAGTGATAAATCTAAAAAAAAAAAAGTTTTCTTTGGGGACTATTTTGCCTCACAACACCCTGCAATTACCCCTCCACCAAGAATGGATTTTCCAAAATATGATTCAGCTTCTCACACCTGTCATAAAACAATGTCTCAGACATCAGGCAGCGTATTGCCAACCATTTGATGCTGTAACTGTCTATGAGGGAGTTTTTAGAGGCATTAAACTCCTCAGACGTCTGGTTCTTATCACCACCACTGGGAACAATTCTGACTCAGTAAGTTTCTCTAGAACAGAGCATTTCACACCAAACTACTCTGAATGACTTTGTTTACATTTAAACTTTGAAAAATCTGTGGAATTCCCCCTTTAATAGAGGTACTGTAGTGTCCCTAGTGAGAACTAAATATTTGATAACTAATGAAAAATGAAATAAAATGACATTGTTTGTCAGTTCAACCTAAAAAATGACTTTTTTTGGTAACAAGCAGTTTAAGTGTTAACCTTTTCCTACTCGCATATTACTTTGAATGAAACAGTGCAAAGTAAAATAGTTTAGATGAATAAAAGCAATATTTCGCATCGCTTCAAACTCCAAAAACACTTCAGATCGACTTATGCCCTGTTCCACTTTGGTATGTGTGCTATGAAACCCTCTTCTTGCATTGTCTTTAATTATTTCTCACTCATTGATGACTGAGAAATTCTCTCCATAGCGAATTCCAGGCTTTCAGTCTATACCACAGTTGGATGAAGAGGAGATATTTTATAGAAAGTAAAGACCTTCCTTTTCATTTTTAGCCTGTTCTGATGGAAAAAAGTAATAAGTGCAGGCTATGCAGCATATAAATTGAATGTAAATGGAATACATTACTATGTAATTAACTCTACAATAATCTAATGATAGTAATTATGTAATGTGAATTGGCTGTAAAAGACAATCACAGGACTCGGTCTTGACTCCTTATCTTTCCTGTGCATGTCTTGTGCGTCAGGCGCGCGTGGGTGGGATCGAGTTTTCTCCAGGTGTGGTCCACATCACCTCCGACAGTCCACTCAGCAGCACGGCCATCATCAGCATCGCCGGTGCCGGAGGCCTCCTCATCCTCTTCATCGTCATCGTCCTCATCGCCTACAAACGCAAGTCCCGCGAGAGTGACCTGACCCTCAAACGCCTGCAGATGCAGATGGACAACCTGGAGTCCAGAGTGGCGTTGGAATGTAAAGAAGGTAGGCGGTGAAACTCACCAAATGTTCTGACAGTGAAGGCGGTTTTGAGGAGTTGGACTGTAAATTACAGAAGTTCTTTCGCAAACTTCTTTGCAGCACATCTCAAAGTTCAGTTCCTGCCAATACAGCAAGAGCACATTAGCTGTTGGCACCTGCACTGCGGGCTACGGTGCCTCTGACTGCAGCAGTGCTTTGACACTCTGTAACAAAGAAACAGCTTTGCAGAAAAGTTAAAGTGAACTTCTGCAGCATTCAACTAAATGAAACCCAACTCTGTAGCATCACTTTCACCATTAAAAGTGTTGTAATTATGAGCCTGTCACATAAGCTCTCATCCTCAGGCAGGGATGGATCATGGTCTCATGAGGCCTGTAGGCATGAACGTGTTTGGAGCCCCCCTGCACCCCCAACAATCTGACAATAATGCAAAAAGTAATGACATAAAAATAGACCTGAAAAATAACAATAATAAACAGCTTGTGTTTTTATTTGTGACAGCATGGTAAAAAAAAGTAATGAAAACAACAAAATGATTAATTCTCAATTATTGTGCAGTAGCTGATTATCTCCTGCACTGTCACGTTTTTGGTGCTAGGAGGCTTTTAAATATGTTAAATATAGAAGTGAAGTATGGATTGAGGGGCTTTTATTTCATTTATTTAATGATTGCATATTCAGAGGCTTTTCATTCATTTAAATTGTGCACCTACAATGAACTGTTACCAGTCTTTGACCCACCTCAGGGTGACTGGTAGCCTAGTGGTAGGAGAAGTGTGCCATTGACTGGAAGGTTGTGGGTTCAAATCTCACAACTGACTAGGTATAGTCAGGTGTAGTATAGGTATACCTGGTTGTGCCCTTGGGCAAGGCACTTAACCCCACTGCCCCAGGAGGCGCTGCTCTGCTGACAGCGCTCAGTAAATACACTGCCCAGTCGTCTTTGTCTCTTATACACATTTCAGTGCCCTAAATTAATGTTTACAGGAATCCTTCCCATTCTTTTGGCAAGTTTCAAATGGTGTTCTTCACAGCTGGGAAAACTGGCCAAATGCATTATGCTTGCTGTAGCATTTTTAACAGTAAATTTGGCCGGCGGCCTGCCCTGAATTAACTGTTCTTACTCAGTGGAGCTGCAGTGCTGCGTCCAGGTGCAGAACTGAATAAATGCACCTCATTCTGCTGACGGAGGTAATCGAAGTACAGTATCCTCTAACAAAAGCACTGAATTATCCAATTGTTTTTATTGATCGGTTTAAGTACGAGTAGCTCAGGACTAATGGAGGCATTTGGTAATTTGCAATGATCAAGGTTCATCTGATGTTGTTCTGGGTTTTTTCCTGCAGCCTTTGCGGAGCTACAGACTGATATTAATGAGCTGACCAGTGACCTGGATGGAGCCGGCATCCCTTTCCTGGACTACAGAACCTATACGATGCGTGTGCTTTTTCCTGGAATTGAGGAGCACCCGGTGCTCAGAGACCTGGAGGTCAGAACCCACATCACTGTTCCAGAAATGCTAACTAATGCTAAGAAAGAATGAATGAATGAATGATGGGAAACATTTGGCGAGAACTGCTTTAGAACTATTTAAGTAATAATCACTTAAATTTTCCTTGTAATTTATTTTGTCATTGTGACATTTATGTTGTTATTCTGTACCAATAACAGCCAATTAATTTTGACATGACCACTTTCCAACCTCTCTTTGTTCCTTAGAGTTAAACAGGCTGTTTTAGGTACTTTGCCTTTTAGACTGATAAATGTAAATGAGCTCCTTTCTGATTGGCTGCCCTTTACCGTGCCTCATTTTAAAAGCCTAGGCTGAAACACTTGTAACTTCAGTGTGAATGGGCTGGGATAAGCTGCTGTGGGCTGAATAGGTGGATAGATGTAAGTACATTTGTGACATCACAAAAACGATTCATTTAAATTGGCTGTTTTTTCCGTTTAGTTTCCATATATGGACTATATGCACTGAAGAATTAACGGTACATTTTATAACATACAACATCAAACTATTTCCTTTTAAAACAGGAAAAAATAGGATATTTTGGTTCTGAATGATGTGAGCCATTCTTGCTGAGTATAAAATATTGGGAATAAAAATAAAATATAGCATATAAAATATAAAATATGCCTTCACTTTTGCACCAGCCACATTTTATGGTTCATTTTTTCCCTCCAATATGTTAAATTCAGCAAATAAACACCAACTGTGCTTTCAAATGTCTTCCCTGTAGAGGATTTGTACTTCAACAAGTTCAACAAATCAAAAAACACGTCATTTGACCAGGGGCGCACAAACTTTTGCATACAACTGTATGGCCCCTTGCTAATATGCTGTCCTGATTTAGCTGTTTGGAGCAAAAATCACTTCAAATGGCTCCAATTATCTGTCCCACCACAGATAATGAGCGAACACATATAGAGGCCTCACTCTGATGGACAGGATATTTTACACTGATGGACAATTATATTAAAATAATACTTCCTCCTCGCTTCCTCTCCCGCTCTCAGTCTCTTACGTCCTTTTTCCCTAGACATAATGAGCCGCTCTCTCGTTCACAATCACTCACTCGTTAATCGCAGTAATGACATGACACAACTGTTTTCTGAGCACAGGGAGGAAAATTAAAAGCCTAATAGACTAAAGTCTACAGCACACCACCGGTTATTTATACCAACTTATGACAGTGATGGACATTCCTAATCGAATCTCTCCAGACAGGGAGACTCATCCTAAAAGCCGAGGCTTAGATCCTTACTTCTGATGAGCTCTGGTTTTAATAAGCTGCGTTAATTAAGCCTTAATTGGAATAAACATGGCCTCTCTCTGGAGGAGATTATAATAAAATCATATGCGGTGGATGTGGCAGTCAGCGTACCTCTGGATAGTGACAGGTTTGTAATGGTTATTGATGGGACAAATGACAGGTATTAGGAGGCCTCTGCAGTATTAATTGTTCATCATCAGCTGTCGGCATCAAATACCTGCTGTCTAGCAACCCAGAAATGAGCTAATATATCTTAGCCAAGGTTTACAAATTTACACTACAGAGTCTTTTTGAAAACATTCGACAAGTCGCCACAGATTAACTTGCTGCTATTTTGCTTAGAAAGAAAACTTATTAGTTTTAATATGTCATGGCATTCTTTACTGTAATAATTTTCACATGTGTTCACTTAAAAGTAAAGCTAGCTATCAATATAAATCAAAACACAAGCATTTGCACATTTTATTGTTTGCTAAATCATAATAAATTATATGTTATTTAATAATTAAAGCTGAGTAGAAAAGTTATAATAATTTATATTTTTTAAAGCTTAGACCAGGTCAGCTTTTCACTGACGTTTAGCATCGCTACTTCAATAACATATTGTGCTTAAATGCTGCTGTTTGAAAGAAATAGTGCTTTATGGAAACATTCATGTTCTCAGCATTATTGGGCTTTGAGCAGAATAACTTCATTCTATGAAGTGATGGAGCTCCATACAATACCTTCAGGAGGAGTTGGAGTGATTCAGAACTGACCATCCAACTTCAGTAGCTGACATCACTAATGCTCTTGTGGCTGAATGCAATCAAATCCTCACAGCAATGTTCCAACATTTAGTGTAATGCCTTCCCAGAAGAGTAGAGGCTGTTAAAGCAGCAGAGGGGGAACAAATATCTTTTTAATACTCTTGATTTTGGAAGAAACATTGGTGTCCACAAACTTTTGGCCACATACTGTATATACAAACAACTCGCTTTGACTTCACTGTTTCTGTGACGTCACAACAAATAACATATTTACATATATGCACCTATTCAGCCTACAGCAGTTTAGCCCCGCCCATTCATGCTGAAGTTATAAGGAGTGGGCCCCTTTTTGAATGAGGCACCATATGAGGAGCCAATCAGAACAGAGCTCATTTACATATTTAAAAATATTTAATTCTAAAGGATGAACAGAGGTTGGAAAATGGTCAATATAAAACTGAATTATGACTGTGTTAGGCACATAAAGCCACACAGATGGGCTTTAAGGGACAAATGTAAGATACAAGCCCTTTAAAAAGTCATTCACAAAACATCTTCTGCATATTTTGTGAACACGTAGTACTTCTGTAACCACAGAGCATCTTCTTGTTGTTTTTGCAGGTGCCAGGCTACAGGCAGGAGCAGGTGGAGAAGGGTCTGAAGCTCTTCGGCCAGCTGATCAACAACAAGGTGTTCCTGCTGTCCTTTATCCGCACGCTGGAGTCTCAGAGAGGTTTCTCCATGAGGGACCGCGGAAACGTGGCCTCTCTCATCATGACCGTGCTGCAGAGCAAGCTGGAGTACGCCACTGACGTGCTCAAACACCTGCTGTCCGACCTCATAGACAAGAACCTGGAGAGCAAGAACCACCCAAAACTGCTGCTCAGGAGGTAAGAGAGACGGCACCGCCCAGAAACCGGCATGCAGCATCTTCGCATGCATACAGCATGAAAATGATTTGAATCTATACAACACTGTACACTATATAACTTTAGAAGCATTAACATTAAGATTCAGTCGGTCTGCATTTTACTCTTTCAGTGAAAAGGTGGGTCAGAAGGGGCTGGAATGTATGCACTGTGTCTTGGGATGCCCAATATATACATCACGTTATTATATTATATTACTGAAGCAAGTGTTTGGTTGTGTGAGTGGATGATTTTAATCTGTTTCAACCTTCTGACTGTGGTGTTCAAAACATTTCTTCCAAATCAGTTAGTCCAACTGAACTTTCCGTTCTGGGTTTGTTAAATTAATTGCCAGCAGTTTTGAAAGGCTGTTTCATAGTGTCTGAAAGCATATGTAGAGTCAAAGCTGTGTGCTTTACCAAGTACTGCTGTGCTAATGACTGATACCACCATTCGTTTATTCAATTTCCAGTCAAAATGGCCATTAAGTAGAAGTTATTCATTTTGTTGAGGAGATATTTCTGAAAGGATGAGATATAAGAAAATCCGTTTGTGGAAGAACGTCAAAGGAAAATAAGTGAACAGACAGGAGTTTCCAAAACTGGAGTTCAAGAGCAAAGAGAAAATTTCTAACAACCACTTAGAAGACCTGCTAGACCAGCAACACTGTCCCCTTCAGATAAACAAAGCGCTTAAAGCTTTCATCTTTGAGAGAGAGGAGAAAATCAAGCTGCTTCAGATCTGAAAACATCCACAGGTGTTTCTGTCCATCCTTCCACTGTGAGAAGACGACTCAGCGCTGTGGGTCTGAAAGGATGTGTAGCTGTCAAGAAGCTCTTACTGAGAAAAGGAGACGAATGTGTGCTAAAACACTAAAATGAGGAGTCAGTTGTTATTGGGATTATTTGGATCTTGGAAAGCAGAAAATGCTAAACCAACTGTGGGGAAAATATCCCAGCAGATTTCTTTGAGAAACTGAAAGCAAGTCTCCTGAAAAGTTTGTGTAATTTTCTGTTAAATGTAGGTTTTTTGCTTTTTCCTTGACATTGAAAAATGACTTACTGCTTAATGGCTGTGTTAACTGAAAATTAAATAAATGTATTATATATATATGTCATCTAAACCACTTATCCTTCTGGGTCACGGCGGGGTGCTGGAGCCTATCCCAGCTGTCATTGGGTGGAAGGCAGGATACACCCTGGACGGGTTGCCAGTCCATCACAGGGCAGACATTCACACCTAGGGGCACTTTTAGCACATCCAATCAGCCTGACTGCATGTTTTTGGACTGTGGGAGGAAACCCACGCAGACACGGGGAGAACAGGCAAACTCCACACAGAAATGACCATGGTCACCCGGCCAGGAATCGAACCCAGGCCATTCTTGCTGTGAAGCGACAGCGCTACCCACTGCGCCACCGTGCCGCCCTATATATATAGGGCGGCACGGTGGCGCAGTGGGTAGCGCTGTCGCTTCACAGCAAGAATGGCCTGGGTTCGATATAATATAAGTTAACATACAGATAGATTATTATAGACATACAGATTATTACAAGTGATTTTGGAGCAGTTCTATTGGTCCATTTGTCATGCAATTACATAGAAACATAAAAATTTACAGAAATAGAGATATCTTTTTCTTTGGACAGTGTCTGTCTAGCTATCTATCTATATATCTGTCTATATATATATATATATATATATATATATATATATCTCAAATGAAAGACAGCCACCTCCATTAATTTTAGCAGCATCTGCTCTGCAGCACAAATGTCTCTGCTCAGTTCGAAGCCGTCTCATTAAATTCACATCAAGCCCATCAATCATGGCCCTTGTCAGCATGTGCATTAAAATCCAGTGGCAATTGGGCACATTCACAGATCTGCAGATGCAGTTCCTCAGGCAGATATGAAGTTGTACATATGCTTACAAACACAAACTGCAATGCTGAGGTTTCCCTTCATTGCTGGCCCCCTGATATTTATACTGTCAATATGCATCATGGGACGCATTCATAGTTACGGAAAATCATTAACGAGAGCAATGAAAGCAAAATCATTAGAGATGGAAGCAGAGAGAGAGAGTGGCGAGGGAAAAAATGCATATAACACACACATACATATGCTGACTGGACACTTACAAACCTTTTGGTGTAGGTAGAGACTATTACCTGTGGATGCACAGTTTGTGTTAGCTGTCCTCTAGTGCATAACCGATGGTCTACAGTCTAATTGTACGCCTGTATAGTGGACCTTTAAGGTAAGTGGACCTCATAATGTGACCAATGAGTGGAAGCAAAAAGTACAGAGTAAGCATACATGTATGTTAGTGATGCACCAGAATTTTGCCTGCAAAAAAAGTTCAAGAATAGCACTTTTGAAAAGAGGCTGAAAATTTCGACTGAAAAAAAACAAAGAGTAAGTAGGGCTACAATGAAGTGTCAACATCAAAGACTTTACAGATCATTTTATTGGTGGCCTGTTGACACTAGACCGTAACGTTTGCACTATTTTAAGTGGAACAGAAAGTTTGAATGAGAAGCTGGAAGCTAAATTCATCCTGCATTGAAACAGTTTGAGCCGCAGCAGATTAACACTGAAGATGTCGACTGTAAATACTTCACAGCTTCTATGAGGGACGTTAGTCAAGCTGTCTGTTTTCTTTGTTGATGTTGAGTAATAAGAGGAGAACTTCTTCTTCATCCAAGAACTTTGGTTCCACTTGAAAACACAACATCCCATTTGATACACAGAACACAATGAAACAACTGAAAGAAAAATCCCTGCAAGTTTGCCGACACCATCTGAGTTGGAAATGGCAAAAAATTCCCAAAGTGCGAAGAATAACGAAAAATGTACAACATTCATTGCCTTGGATGACCAGCCGTTCCCTCTTGGTCTTCATGGCACGTACTGTAGCCTAAATACTGTAATAATCGTGCGATTTATTTATGTAAATTGTTTTATCATCAGCTTTTTACAGAGCCCTGCTGGTGACATCCTGTATAAATAAAAATAATACGTGGCCATGCCGTATTAACACGTGGGAACGAGATCCTAATGCGTGGCTACGACTTAGTAAGGCGTGGAAACGAGATAATTAAGTCATGGCTATGACTTAGTAAGGCGTAGGAACGAGATAATTACATAATGGCTATGACTTAGTAAGGTGTGGAAACGAGATAATTAAGTCATGGCTATGACTTAGTAAGGCATGGGAACGAGATAATTACGTAATGGCTATGACTTAGTAAGGCGTGGGGACGAGATAATGAAGTTGTGGCTACGACTTAGTAAGGCGTGGGAATGAGATAATTAGGTTGTGGCCACCACTTAGGAAGGCATGAGGATGAGATCCCAATGCATGACTATAACTTAGTAAGGTGTGGGGACGAGATAATGAAGTTGTGGCTACGACTTAGTAAGGCGTGGGAATGAGATAATTAGGTTGTGGCCACCACTTAGGAAGGCATGAGGATGAGATCCCAATGCGTGACTACGACTTAGTAAGGTGTTAGAACGAGATATTTAAGCGGTGGCTACAACTTCGTAAGGCGTGGGAATGAGATAATTAAGTCGTGGCTATGACTTAGTAAGGCGTGGGAATGAGATTATGCCTTACTAAGCTGTGGTCAAGGCCTAATCATCTCATTCCCATGCCTTACTAAGCTGTGGCCATGCATGAGGATCTCGTCCCACTCCTTGCTAAGTCGTGGCCACAACTTAATTATCTCGTTCCCACGCCTTACTAAGTCGTGCCCATGCATTATTTTTATTTACACAGGATGTCACCAGTAGGGCTCTGTAGCTTTTTTGGTTTTCGATTTCAATTTTCGTCCCAGTGTGTCCTGAATTTCCGTTCCGGCTGTGGATTTTCATTTTGGTGCGTCTACTTTGTGTCCATATACTATAAACATTAGCACAAAGGCTCAAACATGCAGACTCACATACTCACATGGAGAAGGAACCTGAAGGTCATGTTCCACCTCATATATTTGCTCGAGCACCAAGAGAGATAAGACACACAAGCACATAAATACATGTGTGTAAACATGCACACTCACAGAGTCTTACCTGTCCAGCTGCACGCAGCGCTCACGTGTGTTTAGATGGTGATACGCTTGTAGGAGCCGGCTCTGATGACCCCAGCGGATCAGATCATGATGCATGGGCTGAATGAGAATAATTGCATTTGGTGACATTGAAATACACGCTCCCTCTCTCGGAAACATGAGATGCTCTGACACATTCATCATTAAAATATAATTATGATTAATTAGCCCTGGATCCAATTAAAAAAGCACTAAAACCTGTGGGATGGAGGGAATTCTCTGAATCTCAATTCTCCACGCAATCAGCTCTGCTGCATCTCTGTAACGCAGTGGCACAGACGCTGAAGCGCGGAGGCAGCACTGTTTGAACGAAAGGTCCAAATTCTTCTAACATTGTTGTATTTTTTTTAAAGTTTAGTATAATTTTGCTATAAATGTGCATAAAGAGAATGAAATCTTTTAATCCACGCATAACAAATGCAAAAAAGTCCAGCGCCGACATTCATTTGCCGTACAGAAGAAGTCATTTCCATGTTTTGTTATTTTTCAGCATTTAATTTTCGCTGAACTTCCTCCCTTTTAAAAATAGGCTACAAGAAAACTTGAGGCCATGTTTTGCAGGGGGGGGGAAATAAATTGCATTCTGCAACACTTTGGCCTCCAGGCTTAAACGAATTGTTCCCTCATCAGCTTACATTTGTCAGGCTGGAGGTAAATCCGCATCGCTAGAACAGGTAATAATTTTTATTGATTTACAGTAAAGAGGTGTCCGTGTGGACGCCGGCCCACCAGCCGATTAAACCCTTCTTTGCGATCCAATCGCGCAAGAAATCGAATGCGGTATTACTAAGATTTCATCCCCCGAATGAAAGTGGGCTCAATGATTTTTAGCTTTAATTACAGGCTGGAGCAGTTATCGCCGCGAGAA